TCAGAGGGCTGCATCCGGCCCCCAGGCCTTAGGTTGCCTACCCCTGATTTATACATTGCAGTACTGAAAATGACAGAAATTCTTGATGTGGTCTCATCAATTGGCATAACGCATAACTCCCACAGTCGGGCAATGTCTTCTATAAAAAAATATTGCGTAGCTATTTTCAAATTAGAATTATCCCATAGGGTTAATTTAGCATGAGCATATGAATCACATTGTCATAGATAAGAGAAAAAAGAAACCATTTCTTTTTATCCGAAATGAATGATTTTTAAGTTGTACAAACAAAAAGAGGTGTCAAAAAGGTTCATTCCAAAATCACCCAAGGAGGATTACTGTATATACTCAACTATAAGTCGACCTCATGTACAAGTCGAGGGCAGGTTTTGGGGCCAAAGTTATGGATTTTGATATGACCTGGGGATAAGTTGAGGGTAAAATTTAAGGGCATGTAACAAAGGATCTAAAGGATGAAGCAAAGGAAAAGAATGCTAAACTGGGAAATTACATCCACTATGGAAAATGACAATTGCATCTTCTTAACTATAAACACTAAAGAACTTACAAAATTTGAGCAAGCATAACTGTTTGTGCTCTCCCTAAAGACTGGAGGGCTGAGAGAATGGGGGGGGGCAGTTAATGCTTCCAGGACAGATTACACTCTTGCCTTTCACCAGGGGATGCTTCCCCTTTTTAATAAGAGTTAAAGTATAGTACTTACATTGACCCATGGATAAGTCGATTCAGTTTTTTGGAGTCAATTTTAGCTCTAAATTTCTAGACTTATACAGGTGTATATACAGTACTTCAATCAAATAATAGTTTGTGTAAGCAAAAATTTATGTTTTCTGATGTAAACTGGGAAATTACATCCACTATGGAAAATGACAATTGCATCTTCTTAACTATAAACACGGCAGTAAATTTCCTAAAAATCAGTTATTTTGGAGAGTGTGGTGGAATGCGATGGAGAATATACAATATCATGTTAAACATTTATCAAGTATAATAACATTACCCCAAATGCATGTTTGATTATTTTATATCCTCTACCCAGCCACATGCATGCTAGAAGAAATTGTTACTATACTTCTAAGACCACATGAAAAGGCTGTTTTGACTCTTTAATCCTAAATCAACAGACCTACTATCTGGGTCTGCTTTTCTTCAGGCTTTTTATCCATTAAAACCAAGGACTTAACACAGAATCTATGTACTTTTAAATAAAACCTTAGCCTAAAAAATAATCTACATTTAAATAAAACTTAAGCTGTGTAGTGTGGTACGGTGTAGTGATTTCAGCATCGAACTACAACTCTGGAGACCAGGGTTCAAATCACCACTCTGCCATGTGAATCCATTGGGTAACCTTGGGCAGTCTCAGAGGAAGGCAAAGGCAACCCCTCTTTGAACAGATCTTGTCAAGAAAAACCCTCCTTAGGGTCATTATAAATCAGAAACAACTTGAAGGCACATAACAACAACAACAACAACAACAAATCATATGTGAAATCCCACCTGTATCTAAAGCAGGACAGCCTGGATAGGTAAATAGGGTAGATTTACTCCTACTTTAAACAGCAAAAAACTACAGAAGTAGACAGAAACTACTATCAGTAGACAGAAACTGAGTAACAGTTCATTCATTGATTTTACTACCAAACTATTTGTATATTGTGAAGTCGTAGGCTTTCATGGCCAGAATCCATAGGTTTTTTTTTTGTGTGTGTGTGTGTGGGTTTTTCGGGCTGTGTGGCCAAAATTTCTTTCTGACGTTTCGCCAGCATCTGTGGCTGGCATCTTCTGCCAGCCACAGATGCTGGCGAAACATCCAAAAGAAACTCTTCTAGAACATGGCCACAAAAACTCCCAAACTATTTGTATATTATTATCATCATTATTATTACTATTACTATTTTTATTTATATCCTATCTTTGTCTCAATAATGAGGCTGAAAGAAGCCAAGAACATATTTAAAAACAACACAGATTAAAACTATACAAAAGTTTCTATAAAAATATACATACAAAAGTTTAAAAACAATTGAACGATAGAGTTAATACATTAAAATCCATTAAAAGAGAACACGCAAACCTTAAAACAACCTTAATTGTAGATAAAAAACCATTTATTTATTTATTCTTAAGGTCTTTTTGTTGACATTACAGCTACATTTGTCAGCTGAGATGCAAGTTATTACATTAGTTGGTTCATTTGTTCATTCATTCACACAGCAGCATAAACATGCACTGATGGAGAAATAGTTTCTGTATAACACTGTGATAGGAAACAGAGCTGTGAAAGACTGTAAAAAATAGAGAGTTTATGAGTTACACAGCTTCTCTTGACAAGATGCCTCCAAAAAAACATAAAAGGTAGAAAATAAGGAGGAGAAAGATGAGCTGAATAACTCTGCATAAGTACATACAGTACAGGAAGTACCTAAGGAAATTAAAATCATATGAGAGAAGAAAAAACATTTAGGAAGAGAAGCAAAATTTTAAGATGCACATGACAGAAAAAAGAAAAAAAATATGAAACTAGATAAGCATTCTTGAAGCTTGAAAGTAATTCAAAGAGAGAAATAAAAACAGAAGAAAAACTAAGCAGTTCCTGAATGTATGTTATCTGTGTACTTTTAAAAAACAAATATATTGCCATCACAACTAGTACAGATAGCCTTATCTTCTACAAATTGTATTAGACTAGATACAGGAGTTTTTAAAATAATAAACCTAAAATAGCTGATATAGAACCCAAAAAATAATCTAAAAATCATGATATTTCATAAATTCATATGAGTATGTTGAACAATTACTTATCATTAAACAGCAGTAACACGGTCTGTACTCAGTGGCAAGTTATAGTTTGTATGCCATAATACAGTACTGATTCGTTTTTACAGTGGTTGAGATTCCTGGTCAGAAATTTTTTAAAAAGCAAAACTGTCATATGAAAACAGATGAAGATATCACGTTGCATACAGGGTCCACCACTGCTTACCAGTCCCCATATATTCATTCTCAGCCCATTTGAAGTTAAATTACCTGAAATTCCCAAGTCACACACTGCTAAATTGACAGTCATTATTTCAGCAGGCTTCAGCTTCTTTTTCCGTTGGACAGACATGGATATAACATATCCATTCCCCAAAGTTGACAGGATCCCTAGATTAAAATAATAATAATATACATTATATAAACTACTTAAAAATAACAATAGATGGTGAAAGAATATATCAGAAGAAGATTCCAGGTATACAAAAAATTGCTGTTTCAGCTCCAAACACTGAAATCCTTTAAAAGAGAGGACCAGGATTAAAATATCTGAAAAATGAGTGACATAGAGAACATAGATGGAGAATATTTTAAAACCTGGAGGCCACAGTCACTTTAGCAATCTTTGGGACTGAAGATTGGGCAGGCACAAAAAACACAGTTTTTGCACACCTCTAAACCTGGTTTGTATGTAATCATTATGTATGACTCTTTCTGTCTCTCACACACACATGCATAACATACAATGCAACATCACACAGACAGAAATACTTTAAACCCTTCATTATACATAAACCCTTCATTATATTATATACATTATATATAAACCCTTCATTACATTCTTGTCATCCCACAGCATATTCATATAAAAACATCCAAGTTATGTATCTTGACATAGAATCATAGAATCATAG